CATCTTCCCACATGTTCGGGGTTTGTGTCTTCCTCCCCCCACATTTCCCATAGTTTTCCATCTTATTCGTCGGGGATCGACGATTCATTGTGTCTGTGTGTTTTTGTCCCCTCCTGATTGCAGTCGGACCTGGGCCAGATGAACACCCCTCAAGAACACGGGACCCTCCGTCGGCCAAAGCAGAGACATCCAACGGCAACTACCATGCCCACGGTGCTCAGAGAACATCTAACGAACACGAAAAGCACTGGGACTCTCTCCCCGAACCGACCTCGATCTTATACGTCGGTCCGACTGGAACGCATCCCACTGACGCTTTCGCTGAATTTGACCAGCCGGCTGGGAAGCCACAGCTTGTGCCAGTCCATATTTGTCGATGTCTTTCGCGGCAAGTGGTGGCCCGACGGCTGCGGGGGGGCCGGCGGCGCGCGCGCGCCCACATGCTGAGCACCAGCCCCGGCGCCAGCATCTCGCCCAACGTGGCCTCTCGGCCGCGCCGGCTTGCGGCGTCGTAGGGAGGCAGGATCGGTCAACATCGAACCGGGGAATCCGATCGGATCGACATGTGCGTCAGGGTGCATATTCGGCGGACGTGTCCAGATGCACCCCCTCGCGTCGCGGTCTGGACTCTGGGGCGCAATGCCGTGGATGTGCGGTCGCACGCGTAGATTGCGAGCGGGGCATTTACGAAAAAACACCCACAGGGCCTGGCCCACGAAGCTGTGGGTACGGACGTCTTCCCGCCCATGCATGCATCGAGCCGCACTGGACCGTCGGAATACCTGGATGAACCGGGGGGTCTGTGAAGGGGGGTGGCCGGGAAATCATTGGGGGGGGCCTCCTTTTCTCTCTCTCTCTCCTTCTGTCTCCTTCGCTCTCAGACTCGCTACCGAAACACACCTGAGTCCACAGACGCTGCCGGCCGAAGAAAACATTGACTACGAAAACGAAGCGCAACGACAGGAAACAACCCCAAATCTCTTCCTCCTGCAACACGGCCAAAAAGATCTCGAAAACGCCGGTGCTGTTTTACGTTAGGCGGCAAACGTTAGGCGGCCAGCGATGAAAATTGCACGCGCCGCTTGACTGCGGTGTATTATTGACCCAAACGACGGCGGTTGCAATGTCCGGGTGTCCTCATTAGAGACACTGCCCCTCGGCAGGCGCAACTGGGTAACGTTTGCCCATCAGTGGAGGAAACGGGAACTACTTAGGCAGCAGAAACACGAAATCACATGCATGTGTGATACATGTATACATATATATATATACATCTACAACTATGGATATGTATATAAACAGAGATATAGAAAGAGAGAGAGAGAGAGAAAACAAAAGTTCTGACGAGCGGCCATGATGAGGTCGGAATGCGTTCGCACCATAGTCAGCACACTAATATAACAACGCGACACTTGACAGGATGGATCGGCAACATGCAAAGATTAAGTGACCAAGTGGCAACAAAAAGTGCCTTGCAGTGCGGCGGGGGCCCAGCGCGATCTTGACTCGTCGCAGCCACACGCTCGCAAATATTCATTAGAAGCAACCGAGGCTGAACGCGCGACACACCTTGGAGAGGAGGTCGAACAAATGACCAATCGCCAATTGTCACTCAAGGTCTCCTGGGCCTCACGGATGTTGACCTCGGCCGCTCCCCGGTACCCCAAGCTCTGCCGGCCTCGATGCGCGCGAACTCCTCCTCGCGGCGGCGCATCGTCGCGCGCGCGCGCCGGCGCGACATGCTCTGCGCGGCGGTCTTCGGCCAGGAATTGTTTCGCCCGCGTCCCCGATGTTTTCCGCCATGCTAGTGTTTCACCGGTCTCGCTAATCCAGTTGAACCTTCCCGCGGCCCATCAAGGTGAACTCCGGGCGCTGGACATTTGGCGCGGCCGCCCTCGAGTCGCGGCCCCCCCGACTACAGTCGCGGGCCATGCCCGAGCGGGGACTGACGGCCCAAGACTGGCACATGGTCCACTGGCGACACTCACTCTGCGAGGTCTGGGCCTGCCATGTCTCGTTGAACTTGCGCCCGCGGCGCCGCGCAAACGCCGCGTTGCCTTTTTTCGCCCGGTGGTGGACTCATTGACGAGCGATGCAGCGCGCGGCGCCATCCAAGGCGTCAAATGGTGATGCTCAGCGGGCCCCGCCTTTCAATTTGCGTCTGCTGCGCCCTTCGAGAGCCTGACTTGGCCTCGGCTGGTAAAACCTGCTCCCTCGGCGATTCCGCTAGCTGCCGAGGCCCCCCAAGGGCGAATTTCAGCTCCCATTGCTATCGTCGCGGAGGAACTCGCAGATTTCTTGAGAGCGGTCATGGATGACATCCCAACACCTCTTGCGATTATTTTCCCGCACCCGGAATAAGTGCGCATGCCCTCTGAAACGTCGGCCGAAGAACTGCCGAATCCTGTCTTGACAACCGCGCTGCTTCATCTGAACTTCGTCTTTCTGCGGCGCGTGACTCGTGCGGAAGCATCGGGGCCAGCCCCGCCCATGTCCTCCGCTTCTGGTCTCGTCATGCAGACTTGCTCCTCAACCGCAGGCGTGCTTCATCAGCACTAGTGATCTCTCTCATTCTGCGCGCCCTTCGCTCGGCCTCGCATCAGCGCGGGGGCGCCTATTGCGACGCGGCAAAGCCGACGTCGCGGACTCCCAATTCTGCCATGCTGCGGCGAAGGTCGCACTTTGCTCGCTGGAGTCTTTTGGCACCTTCGCGCGGGGGCTTCCTCGACGCCGATCATGCCGCGCTCTCTGTCGCGCCCCTCCTCGCGTCGATCCTCGCCCCAGGCCCCCTCGAGGTATTTTTCCCAATGGGAAGGGGGGGGGGGGCGGCGGCGCCTCGCTGACGAGGCTCTCCCGAGGGAACCGTTGCCTCGAACAATCCCCCCCCGCGCTGGCGCCCGTGGAATGGGGGGGGGGGGGGGGGGGGGGGGGGGGGCGCGGGGGCGGCGCGATTCCCCCGGGCAATTATGTGGGGGCGAAAGCCCATCGCGCGCGCGCGGTGCGCTGCTCGATCTGACTGACTGTTCCACTCTAGTCGGCGGATCCCCCGCGCAAGCAGCGTAGCTCGCGGCGCGGCCTTTGAATTGCGCCGCTCCACGTCGCGCGCGACAGCCAGCCCCCCGCTCAGACGCGCCAGCGCGGGGCGACGGCGGGCGGCTCAGAGCTGCCGCGCGCGACTGCGCCCCAGCAGTGCCCCCCAGTGGCCGCGGCGAGCCGAAGAGCGGCCAGAAAACGCCTCGGGCCCCTGGCGGGGGCCCAATGCTTCAGTGCACTAGACTGAGAAGAAAAACCCGAACCTACTGCGTGGCGGGGCACGGCGCCCGCGCGCACGCGGCCTTGGCGTCGCCGCGCCATGAGTCTAAGTCTGACATTGCCCCATCGGCCCGGCAGCGCCAGATGCATCGCACACGTTGATTTCACTGCGCAGCGAACCGCGGGCGCAGCCCCCGCGCCGAGAATGTTCGGGAGGGGAGAAGGGAAAACGACAAACGAAGCAGCCATGAGCCCCTCAAATGTTCCTAAAGTGGACAAAAGCGCTGCTTTCTTACCCCCCCCCCCCCCACACACACACACACACACCCATGGCAATCCGAACGGTGAACTGGGAAGTGCCGCTGTCTGGTGCCTTATGACCCAGGTATCTCCGCGCTGGGCATCGCGATTAAAGACGCGCAGTTTGCCGGCTTCCCCCTCTTTCGCGCAAGCGCCAACTCTTCCATGACGCCGGCGGCTTGCGAAGGCAGCGTGCCCCTGTCGCCCGCTTATGTCCCCTCTCCACGGGGGCCGCGTTCGCATCCAGTTTCGTGAAAATTGCCTCCGCTAGCTCAACGTCGCATGCGCAATCGCTGTTCTCGCACCAGCAGACACCGCAATGACCTCATGGGGCCCATCAAAGTTTGGCGCTTGAGTCGCGATGTCGATCCGTGCGCCAGCTTTTTCAATATCCTCCCTGCTCAACGCTGGCCTGTCCAACTTCGTTGGCTCCCATGGTGCAGTTGGCTGCGAAGTGGCCTTTAATTCGCGTCTGTGACATTTGCGCCCGCGCGTGGACGCGTGGCCCTGGCCGCCATGTCTGCCTCCGGGCTGCCCTGATACCACGCCCGCCCTCAACCCCATCTAGCCTTCGCAATTATCCATGCGATAGCATGTTTCGCGGCCTCGGGCATCATGTTCCTTCACTGCTGTTCGTGCAGTTGCCTCCGCCTCTGCAGCTGTGAGCTCATCTGCCAATGTTACCGCACTTGTAGCATCTGACCTGTCCTTTTATCCTTACCTTTTAATCTTCCACGCCTCCTGCGCCCATGCCTTGGTCGACTCTCCGACCTGATATGCCATCCTCGCCCACGGGCCACCAAGCGCCATCTTTGTCAAATTCTCCGTGGCGGGTTCCCTGGAAGGCTGCGCGCTCAATTCGTTTTCCTTCATTTCCTGTCCCGCCGATGTCCATCGCATCTATGCGATGTAGGGCCAACATTTTATCACTCTTGGGGTCGAACCAGATCCTCGTATCTCAAAACAGATGCCTGGTGCTGTTCCATCGTGAGGGAACCTGGTGACACGTGACACTGTTGCTGCTAACCGTCGGAACAAAGTCCGACGTATGTCGCTATGATCTTCGGAACCGCTGTCGTGCACGGTAAAAACACTTCACATGATCTACCGTGCTCGTCGGAAGTCACGACGAACGAACTCCACTGGTCGAGCTAAACTGGTGTGCCTCTTATCGGATTGCGCCTATCGGGGGTCATGGCCGAGCCCATGTTGGCCGACAGCGTAGCCCTTTTTGCGGCAGAGAACATGTATATATTGTCATGTAGACGATCAGTCGCTTGACCGTCTCTGAGGCCTCGGCACTCGCCAGTGCCTCGGCTAAGCTGTTATATGCGTCCTCGTCTAGATTATGTTTTCTTTGCTCTTGTCTGGTGATGTTGTGTTGTACCGTGCTGCTGTCATGCTCCCGTTGCGCATGTTTGCGTTATTGCCTTCTTCACACCGGAGCAGCGCAAACCGTCCATCGCTTCAAACTTTGATATGTGCAAATGCGTCGTGTAGTCTGTCATCCGATTCCTGGAGTTTCGTCCGGTATTCGCCAAAACTTCTCTGCAATGTGAATGCTTTTGAAACGTGCGCAGGCTTTTGGTGGGCCGAGCTCTTGTTAGACCTTAACTTGTCAACGAACTGGGCCAGGCGCACTAATGTGCAATATGTCTTCGGCTAGTCGCTCCGACCCAGCCGCTCGTATGTTCACTTGCGTGTGCTCCGCATCGTGCTTCTATCCGCGATCGATTATGTTCGGCAATGCTGCGTTACCTTGTTTCGAAAATTATCATTCGCGACATCGCGCGTTCACTGTTCAAGTCTTGGTTGCCCGCGCGCGTTTGTTATTCGAGGCTCTTCGTCATCAAGCCATGGTTAGTCTGATGGCCAGATTTGGCGAATTACGAATGACCTTGATTGTACGTCGTAAGGCAGTTAAGTCCTAACTTGTCAAGACTGTGTGCAATGCATTAGTGCTGTGATGTAGGTACTGTTAGACCTGCTGACACTGCCACAGCCCCGCTCCGCTACCGTGCACATCCAACACAACGATCGCGACGAGTATTGAGCACTTCTTTGCAAAAGCAAGTCAGCGCTGAAAATGCACACAACGCCTGACGGAGAACATACTTCTTGAGCCAAGCACCGGCGGTTGCACAGTAACCGGACAAACTTTGATGGAACATCGTCCTCCTGCTCGTTCCTGCTCCTGCTCCTGCTCCTCGTCCTCGTCCTCATCCTCCTCCTCGTCCTCGTCCTCGTCCTCGTCCTGCTCTTGCTCCTGCTCCTCCTGCTCCTCCTGCTCCTCCTGCTCCTCCTGCTCCTCCTGCTCCTCCTGCTCCTGCTCCTCCTCCTCCTCCTCCTCCTCCTCCTCCCTCTCCTCCTCCTCCTAGTAATGATCATCCCGCGTACCCCTCCACCTCCATTGCCTCTGGTGCCTCCTCGCGCCACTGCGGCGGAAGGCTCGCCTTCGGCGAGTTGGCCGCCTCCGCGAAGTCGCCTGCGGGGGCGCCGACGGAGCTGCGAGGCCGGATGCCCCGGTGTGAGGACGCCGTTCCAGCGGACAGGCAGCCACGTGCAGGACTGAGCTCCGAGGAACTGGCTGAGGTTAGCTCGGCAGTCCAATGAACCTCCCAACGGAGGTGTCCGATAGCCCAGCGTCGATTGGACCCGCCAGGGCAGTGTTCGGAAGTGGTCGCAGACAAGAGGTCTTCGCAAGAACGACGACGATCCACGAAACCCGATATAACGTGTCACTGGGCCAGAGCAGCTCAAATCAATCCAGATTGGAGCGGATTGAGCGGGATCAAGCGGAACGAATGGGGTTTATGCTGGATTAGGTCGTTTTTGCGACCACGGATCTACCAGCGCCGATGCCAAAGTGACCTCCCCAGGAGCTGCATCCTACTAACCAAGGGGAGTGGGCGGGGGGTCCGCGGAGGCGGTCCGAGGGGTCCCGAGAGGGGGGTCGGAGGAGGTAGGTGAAGGGCGTGGTCCGAGGGCATGGCGGTGGTGCTCGGATACTCGGGCGTCGGGGTCCCGGGTCGGCGTTCGAGCTAGCTGGTGGCCAGCTGGCTCGCGCATTGCAGGAAGCTGTGGCAAGAGTCGCGCCCACTAGCCTGTTCTGAGAAAAACAACGAGATCTTCTAGAGAAGAGGGAGGATAGCTGTTGGCGGACAGACAGGCCAAGAACGTGGGCAAGTGTAACGGCCTGATCGAATGACCCCGGGACGCCTGGTCGAGAGGGGCCTGGTCATTCCATTGCAGGAAGCTGTGGTAAGAGTCGCGATAAGAAGTACAGGGAGGTTTGCAGGTTGGCGGTGGTGGCAGCAGGGCTGTGATGGGAGGGGGTGGTGCGAGGTTGTCGAAAACCCACACGCCCGAAGCCATGACGTTTCACAGCCTGGACTCCCAAATGGCTTGACCTCGTCCCCAGGACTGTGTTTTTTTGTCACCTGGCGAACGCCGTCAGAGGACGAAAATGGCCAAACAAAATCCGCCGCGAGTTCTTCACAGCGCGGGGGGGGGCCGGGGAGGCCGCTGGGGGGCCGAACAGAGGGAGCGTGCGCCGCCTCGCGCAGCCAGGGGGGGTGTCAGAGGGGGAAGGGCGGGCCGACGCCCCCGAGGGGAATGCCGCCCCTCCCTCCCCTCCTTCCCGCCCCCCTCCCCCCTCCCCCCGTCTCGATGCCTCTGCCCCTCCCCCTTCCCCCCACCCCTCCCGCCCCAAACACAGCCGCACGGGGCGTGCTGCTCTGCCCGGGCTGCGCCTCTGCCGCCGGGGCCGTGGTGCGGGGGGGGGTGGAGGGGGGTGGCCGTCTCCGCCGCCGCGCCCTGGCCCGCGCGGCTGCCTCTCCTCCCCCTGGCCCCGGCGGCGGCGCTCGTCGTGCCCCCGGGGGGCCGGGGGGAGGCACCCGACGCCGGGGGGCAGCAGCGGCGCTCGTCGCGCCCCCGGGCCTGCCGGGAGGCAGCCGACGCGGCGCGCCGCCGTGGAGAAGCCATCCGCGCGCCACCGCGAGGAAGCACTGTGCTCGCGGACAGAGGCAAAGGAGCAGCACGCGGACGGGCCCTCAACGGCACACCACGTTTCTGCGACCGTGCTGGCGCGGTCTGTCCTCGACCTGGGCCTGCCAGGGACTCCTCCTCTGATTCGCATCAAGAAGACCCCTGGCCCTTTTGGAAAGGACCTGAATCAGGAGGGCCATAAGCATTAAACCGTAACGCCCAGATCGCCATTATCCCTGATGCAGAGAAGGGGACCTCGGTGTGGCTACGTCGTCATCGTGTTAGTAGGGTTAGGGGGCTCTCTCATCCTCGATGATCGAGGACGGGGGATTGTGGAGTCGCAGGGGTTCAAAAGCGCGCGCGCGAGGCTTTCGCGCTGAGTTCGCGACTGTTTCTGTGCAAACTCTGCTCTGTGTCGTCCTCCTCCTCCTCCTCCTCCTCCTCCGCCTCCTCCTCCTCTCCTCCTCCTCCTTCCTCTCCTCCTCCTCCTCCTCCTCCTCTCTGTGTTTTTTTTTTTTTTTTTTTTTTTTTTTTTCTCCTGGTGTCCCCCCAAAAAAACCAAACATGTTTTTAAACGGACTTGAGATTCGCGGATTTTTGTTTTTGCTTCATTTCTTCTTTTGGGGGGGTCGGCGGCGGAAAAAAAAGAATGCGACGTGACCTCATCTGACCTCCCCCCTAGAAGGATTCCGAATGAAAAACCCACAAGAAGGATTCATAGAAAAAAAAACCTCGACAGAAGGGTTCCTGTCGAAAACCTCCACTGAATGATTCCTACTGAAAACCTCCACATGTGGATTCCTACTGAAACCCTTCCCTGAAAGATTCCTACTGAAATCCTCGAATGGCAGTGGCAATGGCAATGGCAATGGTAATGGTAATGACAGTGGTGATGGTAATGGTACTGGTAATGGTAATGGCAACGGTAATGATAATGGTAATGGGGTAGCGACTGGCAATGGCAATGACAATGGCAATGGCAACGGTAATGGTAATTGCAATGTTAATGGCAATGGCAATGGGAATGGCAATGACAATGACAATGGCACTGGCAATGGTAATGGCCATGGCAATGGTAATGGTATTGGGAATGGTAATGGTAATGGTAATGGTAATGGGAGTGGGAATGGGAATGGGAACGGGAATGGATATGATAGTGGTAGTGGTAGTGGTAATGGTAATGGCACTGGTAATGGCAATGGTAATGGTACTGGTAACGGTAACGGTAATGGCAACGGTGATGGGAATGGGAATGATAATGGGAATTGTAATGGTAATGGCAGCAGGAATGGTAATGGTCGTGGTCATGGCACTGGTAATGGTAATGGCCATGGAAATGGTTATGGTATTGGTAATGGCAATGGTAGTGGCTAATGGCAATGGCAATTGCAATGGTAATAGCAATGACAGAGGTAATCGTAATGGTACTGGTAATGGTAACGGTAACGGGGTAGCTACTGGCAAGGGCAATGACAATGACAATGGCAGCGGAAATTGTAATGGCAATGGCAATGGGATTGGCAATGGCAATGGCAATGGCAATGGTAATGGCCATGGCAATGGTAATGGTAATGTCAATGGGAATGGGAACGGGAATGTGAATGGGAATTGGAATCGGAACGAGAACGGGAATGAAAATGGCAATAGTAGAGGTAACGGAAATGGGAATGGTAAGGGTAAGGGTAAGGGTAAAGGTAAAGGTGAAGGTGATGGTAATGGTAATGGTAATGGCAATGGCAATGACAGTGGTAATGGTAATGGAAATGGTAATGGTAATGCTATTGGGAATGGGAATGGGAATGGTAATGGCAATGGTAATGGTAGTGGCGAATGGCAATGGCAATGGCAATGGTAATGGTAATGGTAATGACAATGGTAATGGCACTGGTAATGGTAATGGCACTACTGACGGTAACGGTGATGGTAATGGTAATGGCAATGGTAACGGGGTAGCGACTGGCAATGGCAATGACAATGGCGATGGCAACGGTAATGGTAATGGTAATGGCAATGGCAATGGCAATGGCTATGGCCATGGCCATGGCCATGGCCATGGTCATGGTCATGGTCATGGTCATGCTAAGGGTAAGGGTAAGGGTAATGGTAATGGTAAAGGTAATGGGAATGGGAATGGTAATGGTAATGGTAATGTGAATGGGAATGGGAATGGGGATGGAAATGGGAATGGGAATCGTAATGGTAATTGGAAAGGGAACGGGAATGGAAATGGTAATGGTAATGGTAATGGCACTGGTAATGGTAATGGTACTGGTAACGGTAATGGTAATGGTGATGGGAATGAGAATTGTAATGGTAATGGCAGCGGTAATGGTCATGGTCATGGTAATGGTAATGGTAATGGCCATGGTAATGGTTATGCTAATGGTAATGGCAATGGTAATGGTAGTGGCTAATGGTAATGGCAATGGTAATGACAGTGGTACTGGTAGTGGTACTGGCA